TTGGTTCTGTAATCAATACCAATGGAAGCAGCAATGAAGACATCAAAAGATGTATTGCATTGGGCAAATCTGTTGCAAAAGACCTCTTTCAAGTGCTGAAGAGCAAAGATATCTCCTTGAAGACTAAGATAAGCCTAACCCAAGCCATGGTATTTTCAATCGCCTCATATGCATGTGAGAGCTGGACAATGAATAAGGAAGACCTAAGAAGTGTTGATGCTTTTGAGTTATGGTGTTGGTGAAGAATGCTGAAAGTACTAACAGATTAGTCCTGGAAGAAGTGCAGCTGGAATGCTCCTTGGAAGAGAGAATGGCCAGACTTTGTCTCACCTACTTTGGTCATGTTGTCAGAAGGGACCATTCTCTGGAGAAGGATGTCATGCTTGGTAAAGTGGAGGGTCAATCTAAGAGGGGAAGGCCCTAAACATGATGGACTGACAGGGTGGCTGCAGCGATGGGCTCAGGTATAGCTCAGGCTGGCACAGGACTGGGCAGTGTTTCATTCTGTTGTACATAAGGTCGCTATGAGATGGAGACAACCCAACAGCATGTAACAACAACAACAATAACGAGTTCAAGTTGAAACTGAAGAAAAATTTTAAAGTTCACAAGAGCTAAAATACAACCTTGAATATATTCTACCTGCATTTAGAGACCATCTAAAGAATAGATTTGATGCACGAAACACCAATGACTGAAGATCAGATGGGCTGTGAGATGATATCAAGGACATCATACATGAAGAAAGGAAAATATCATTAAAAAGGGAAGAAAAAAAAGACCAAAATAGATGTCATAAGAGACTCTGAAGCTTACTCTTTGAGAGTAGATAAATTGAATTGAAAAACTGATTAAGTAAAAGAGCTGAACAAAAAATTTCAAAGGGTAACTTGAAGACAGAGTAAGGTATTGTAAGGAAATGTGCAAAGACCTGGAGTTAGAAAACCCAAAGGGAAGAACATACTCAGCATTTCTTAAGCTGAAAGAATTGAAGAAAAAATTCAACCTTTGAGTTGCAATATTGAAGGATTCTATGGGCAAAATGGTGATTTTGGTAAAGAATATTGAATATATCATGGACTGTCAGAAGAATGAAGAAATCTGGCTTAGAAGAAGTACAGACAAATGCTCCTTACAAGCAAGAATGACCAGACTTCATCTCTCCAGTCCCTGAAGAAAGATATCATGAATGGTAAAATAGGGGGTCAGCGAAAAAGGGGAAGACTATCAATGAGATGAATTGACACAGTTGCTGCATTGGTGGGCTCAAGCATAGCAATGCATGTGAGGATGGCACAGAACTGGGCAGTATTTCATTCTGTTGTGTATGTGGTCACTGTCAGTCAGAACTGACTCGACAGCAGCTAATAACATGGGCAAAATATTGACTCACACAGGACTCATCAAAAGAATACAGAGTCACTGTACCCAAAATCATTGGTTGTTGTTCAGATATTTCAGGAGGTAGCATCTGATCAGGAACAAGTGGTATTAGAGAAAGAAGTCTAAGCCTTGCTGACGGCATTAGTGAAAATCAAGGCTCCAGGAATTGATGGAATACCAACTGAGATGTTTCTACTAATGGGTGCAACACTGCAAGCACTTTGTTCATCTATGCCAAGCAATTTGGAAGACAGCCATCTGGCCAGCAGGCTGAAAGAGATCAATAATTTTGCCCATTCCAAAGAAAGGTGATTCAAAAGAATGCAGAAATTTTCTAACACTATCATTAATATCACACACAAGTAAAATTTTGCTGAAAATAGTTGAAAAACGATTGCTGCAGTACATAGACAGGGAACTGCCAGAAATTCAAGCCAGATTCAGAAGAGGACATGGAATGATGGATATCACTGCTGATGTCAAATGGATCTTGACTGAAAGTAGAGAATACCAGAAAGATAATTATTTTTTATTTATTTATTTTTTTGCTGAGTATGCAAAGGCATTCGCCTGTGTGGACCAAAACAAATTCTGGGCAACACTGTGAAGAATGGGTATTCCAGAACACTTAATTGTGCTCATGAGGAACCTATATGTAGACCAAGAGGCAGTCATTCAAACAGAACACAAGAATTCTACATGATTTGAAATTGGGAAAGTTGTGTACCAAGGTTGTATCCTTTCACAATATTTATTCAATCTATATGCTGAGCAAATAATCTGAGAAGATGAACTATGAAGAAGAACATGGCATCAGGATTGGAGGAAGACTCATTAACAACCTACCATATACAGATAACACTTTGCTGAAAGTGAGAAGGATTCGAAGCACTTTCTAATGAAAATTAAAGGCTGCAGCTTTCAGTATTGATTGTACGTCAACATAAAGAAAATAAAATCTTCACAACTGGACCAATAAGCAACGTTGTGGTAAATGAAGAAAATAGTGAAGTTGTCGAGGATTTCATTTGACTTAGATCCACAATCAGTGGCTATGGAAACAGCAGTTAAGAAATCAGATGATGTGTTGCACTGGACAAATCTGCTGCAAAAGACCTCTTTTAGGTGTTAAAGAGCAAAAATCTCACTTTGAAGATTAAGGTGCACCTGACCCAACCCATAGTATTTTCAGTCACCTCATATTCATGTGAGAGCTGGACAATGAGTAAGGAAGACCAAAGAAGAATTGATGCCTTTAAATTGTGGTGTTGATGAGGAACATTGAATATATCATGGATTGCCAGAAGAACAAACAAATCTATCTTTGAAGAAGTACAGCTGGAACACTCCTTGGAAGAGAGGGTGGCAATACTTCATCTCACTTACTTTAACATGTCTTCAGGAGAGACTAGTTCCTGGAGAAGGGCATCATGTGTGGTAGAGTGTCAGTGAAAAAGAAGACCTTCCATGAGATGGAGTGACACAGTGGCTGCAACAGTGGATTCAAACTTTGCTACAATTGTGAACATGGTGCAGAACTGGACAGCATTTCATTTAGTTGTACATTGGGTCTCTATGATTTGCAACCCACTGAAGGACACCTAAAAACAGCAACATCCTCTAATTCTTTCTTCTGCCTGATTAAATATGATGGTAAGTCCTTCTATTGTATTTCTCATTTCAGTTACTCTCCCTTTCAGTTGCAGTCACTTTTTTTAGATCCTCATTGCATTGGTGTCCTTATTTATTTATTTTGTTGGCTCTTTCTTCTCCCTTAGTTCTTTATGTTTAATGCTGTTGTATTCTTTCTTTCTCACCCTCCCATTATTTGGTTGTTCCTAGATGTGCTTTCCCTCCCTTTGTCATGTTCATTTGAATGAGCCGTCATTTCCCTGTTCTTTTGTGTACACTCCAAACTGATGCTGGGAGGTCTGCCTTGTTGATTGTAGGGCAGAAGCTTGGGTCCTGTGATTCGTCGATTTGTTTATTGATTCTTGCATGTCTGCAGTTCCCTGCCGCTTTCTTCCGCTCCTGGATTCAGAGTCCCCAAAGCCATGTATCATTTCCTTGTTGTGTTTGTGGAGGAGGGTCAGAGCAATGGTCCATCTGTGCTACCATGTTCTTAATTGCACATTTATCTCCTCCTGGTAGGAGCCTCTAAGGGAGCTCTGGTGGCTTAGTGGATAAGGCATCTGGCAGCTAACCAGAAGGTCAGTAGTTCAAACCCAACAGCCACTCTGTGGAAGGAAGATGGGGTGATCTACTTCCATAAAGATTTACAGTCTCGGAAACCCAGTGGGGGTCGCTATGCATCTGAATTGACTCGATGGCAGTGAGTTTAGTTTTTGGTTTGAGGAGCCTCTAATCCTTGCCCTAATGAATTTATTTCACCACCCACCAGCTATTTTAATCAGAAAGTTTTCGAAGAGCAGACCAACCAACCAGTTGCCATTGAGTCAACTCCGCTTCATGGTAACTAACCCCATATGTATCAGTGTAGAACTGTGCTCCACAGGGCTTTCAACCACCAGGCTTTTCTTTTGAGGCCCCTTTGAGCCCAACCTTTTAGTTAGCAGCCAAGCACATTAACCATCAACACCACCCAGCGACTCCTGACACCACCACCAGGAAGAGTAGGTTATTATTTGGTTTTATTGTGCCCCTAATGAAAATCTGGTAGCATAGTGGCTAAGTCACTTGCCTGCTAACCAGAAGGCTGACGGTTGAAACCCACCAGCCACTCCTCGGAAGGAAGGTTGGGCAATCCTACTTCTGTAGTGATACTGCCTTGGAAACCCAAGGAGGTGTCGCTATGAGTCGGGGCCGACTCGACGGCACATAACAACAACAACAATGAAAATAGCTTTATCACTTTTTAAAATTGAAAAAGTAATGAATGAACACTAGAAGATTCAAATACAGAAAAACTTAAAGAACATATAAAATCACCCAAAAGCTTACATTCAGTGGTAACATCATTAATATTTGATTAATATCTTTTTAGTTCTGTAAAACTTTCTCTCTCACACACCTTAATATGTAATACATGTATTTAATGGAAATGGAAATGTAATACTATACATATCCTTTCACAGTCTTTTTTCACTTAATATGTCATGGACATCTTTTCATATCAATAAATATAGAGTTACATCCCTATTTTAAATAGCTGTGTGGGATTACATTGAATGGGTATTTAACCAGTCATTTAGATTTTTTCCAATTCTTTGTTACTGTAAGTAGTTCCATAATGAAGATCCTTTTATGTACATTTGTCCTTAGGATAAATTCCTAGAAGTGGAATTAATGAATCAGAGAATTTTCATGTTCAAAATTTGCTAACTATTTATTGTTAAATGTTTTCTGTGAAGGTTGTAAAAATTTACAGTCCATGAATTTTAGATGAGCGTGCTCGAATCTTCATGCTCCACTAATATTAGATATGGTTATTGTAAGCAATCTTTGCAATCTGAAAAGTTGTATATCATTTTTATTTTATTTCTGGTGAGATTGAGTAGCCTTTCATCTGTTCATTAGTGCTTTTGTTTTTTTTTCCTGAGTTCCTTGTTCATGTCCTTTGCCCATTTTTGATACATGATTTTATTTGTTTTTTGTAGAAACAATTTGCTCTGTAATGGACTTAGCCTGAAATCACTTGCTGAAACCATTTTGAACTTTCCCCTTGACAAGTCCCTTCTACTTCGTTGTAGCAACTGGGATGCTGAGAATCTTACTGAAGACCAGGTACTTCTTATCAGAGGAGCTGAAAAATTGAAGAGCCATTGCTTGTAAAGTATAATTGTTTTTCAAAATTCTAATCTCCAAATATGATACAAACTATTGTCCTGAGATGCCTTAAAATATATTCTTTGCCTGATGATACTCAAGCGGTCAATAGTAATGTGGATGCCACTTAAAAGACTCAAAGTCTTTATTTTTTATATATGTAATATATTTACAAACACTTATTATATGACAGGCATTTCAGGAAACATAGTTTTTGTTTTCTATGAAGTAGCTTCATTTCTAAATGCTAATACACAAAGAATGAAGGTGTTGTGCACATGCACTCAATTTCCAGTGCTGTCTTCACTTGAGTAGTTTAGGAGGAAAGTAAAGTAAAATGTTTAGATCTTATTTTAGGAAGAAAGATTACCTCAGGGTTAAATCTCTGAAGAGATTCATAGTTTAGGTGGCTTAGGGGAAAGCAGTGGTATATTGGCAATAAAGCTGAAAATCAAGTTCAAATCTGTGGAGCTGCCTTTGTACCTTTGGAAAAGTGACTTGGTTTTTTAAGTCTGTAAAATGGAAGTGTTTATCATCTTACAGATTGTGGGGTTAAATAAACACACTGTCACTCATTCAGTCCTTAGCACAAGGTATTTGCTTACAGTTCTCCCTTGAAACAGATGCCACACTGAATAAGGTTGTTGTTCTAGCCAGCATAATCTTCTTACTGAATAGTGGTGGGTTCAGGGCTGCCAGGAGAGTCTGGTTGCCCATACCATGCATTAACCAGCCCTCATTTTCTAAGAACATGTCTTTCGCTTTAAGCTTCGGATCTTGTTGTTGTTGGGTGCCATCAAGTTAGCTCCGACTCATAGCGACACTATGTACAACAGAACGAAACACTGCCTGTTCTCGCGCCATCCTCACAATCCTTACTGTGCTTGAGCCCATCCTTGCAGCCACTGTGTCAGTCCATCTCATTGAGGGTCTTTCCCTTTTTCACGGACCTCTACCAAGCTTGATATCCTTCTCCAGGAACTGGTCCCTTCTGACAATATGACCAAAGTAGGTGAGAAGAATTCTGGCCATTCTCACTTCTAAGGAGCATTCCAGCTGTACTTCTTCCAGGACAGATTCATTCATTCTTCTGGCAGTCCATGGTATTTTCAGTATTATTAGCTAACACCACAATTCAAAGGCATCAACTCTTCTTCAGTCTTCATTATTCATTGTCCAGCTTTCACATGAATCTGAGGTGATTGAAAATACTGTGGCTTGGGTCAGGCGCACCTCACAGCAACATGCAAGCTACATGTACAACACACTGACAACACACTGACAGACAAACTGATAGACGAATAGTAGAGCTTTGAATGTAGAGTTGAATTAATTATATTCACTCAGCACAAGCTATTATACAACAATAGAGGACTATTCTGGTTCTGTTCTTGTTATTCAGCCTTGGTTACCTCTTTATTATTATTATTGTAGTAAAATATGTTGTTGTTGTTGTTATGTGCTGTCAAGTTGGATCCAATTCATAGCGACCCCTCCTTGGGTTTCCGAGGCAGTATCACTACGGAAGTAGATTGCCCCATCTTCCTTCCGAGGAGTGGCTGGTGGGTCTGAACCGCCAGCCCTCTGGTTAGCAGTCAAGTGTCTTAGCCACTATGCTACCAGAGCTCCCATACAACATAAAAATTGCTTTTAACCATCTTTAAGGGAACTATTCAGTGGCTTTAATCACACTTAACAACATTGTGTAACCATTACCATTATTTGTTTCTAAAACTTTTTCATCCCCTAAAAGAAACTTTGTACCCATAAATAATAACTCCACTTTCCTTCCTCCCCCAGTCTCTGATAACCACTAATCTTTTTGTTTCTTTGTGTTTGTCTATTCTAGGTATTTCATATAAATGGGATCAAACAATATTTGTCGTTTTGTGTTTTGGCTTATTTCACTTGGCAGAAAGTTTCCAAGTTTCGTCCATGTCATACATAGCATGTGTCATAACATTATTTCTATTTATGGCTGAATAATACTCTATTGTACGTATATATCACATTTTGTTTATCCATTTACCTGTCGAGAGGAGCTCTGGTAGCACAGTGCCTTAGGCATCTGACCAACCAGAAGGTTGGTGGTTCAAAGCCACCAGCTACTCCATGGAAGGAAGACTGGGCAGTCTACTTCTGTAAACATTTAGTGCCTCAGAAACCCACAGGGGGTGGCTGTGAGTTAGAATCGACTTGACAGCAGTGCGTTTGGTTTTCTTTTTTTTTTTCACCTGTTGGTGGACGCTTTCTTGGTTTGTTTCTACCTTTTGGCTATTGTGAATAATGCTGCAATGAACATTAGTATAGATGTATTTTTTTTAATCATTAATACAAATGTATAATTTAAAAATCTATTCTGTTTTAAGATGCACTGTGTTGTTTATTGTTAGGTGCTGTTGAGTTGGTTTAACGAGACACTGCCCGGTCCTGCACCGTCCTCTCAATCATTGCTGTGCTTGAGCCCATTGTTGCAGCCGCCGTGTCAGTCCGTCTCACTGTCTTTCTCTTTTTGGCTAACCCTCTGCTTTACCAAGCATGATGTCCTTCCGTAGGGACTAAACAAACAAACAAAACAACAACAACAAACTCACTGCCATCGAGTCGAATCCAACTCATAGTGACCTCTCCCTGGGTTTCCAAGGTGGTATCTCTAGAGAAGTAGATTGCCCAATCTTCTATCTGAGGAGTGGCTGATGGGTTTGAACTGCCAGGCTTCTGGTTAGCAGTCAAATACCTTAGGTACTATACCATCACAGCTCCCTCTTAATAACATGTCCAAAGTACGTAAGATAAAGTCTCACCATCCTCCCTTCTAAGAAGCATTTTGGCTGCATATCTTCCTGGACATACTTGTTCATTCTTCTGAAAGTTCAAGGTACATTCAGTATTCTTTGTCAATACCATAATTCAAAGGCATCAATTATTCTTTGGTCTTCCTTATTCATTGTTCAGCTTTTGCATGCGTATGAGGTGACTGAAAATACCATGGCTTGGGTCAGGTGTACTTTAGTCTTCAGAGTGACATCTTTTGTTCCTTAACACTTTAAATACAGTATGTCATTTGATTTGTTGATTACTGCTTCCATGGGCATTGATTGTGGATTCCAGTAAAAAGAAATCTTTGACAGCTTCAGTCTTTTCTTTGTTTATCATGGTGCTGCTTATTGGTCCAGTTGTGAGGATTTTTGTTTTCGTTATGTTGAGGTGTAATCCATACTGGAAGCTGTAGTCTTTGATCTTCATCAGTAAGTGCTTCAAGTCTTCTTTATTTTCAGCAAACAAGATTGGTTTTGTTGTCTGCATGTCACAGGTGGTTAATGAGTCTTCCTCCAATCCTGATCCTGTGCTCTTCTTCATAGAGTCCATCTTCTCAGATGATTTACAGATACAGATTGACTAACTAGGGTGAAAGGATAAAACCCTGATGCACACCTTTCCTGGTTTTAAACCACACAGTATCCCCTTGTTCTTTTAAGAATGACTGCCTCTTGGTCTGTTTACAGGTTCCACATGAAGACTAATGATGAAAACCAAAAAACCAAACCCCCCGCCATGAGTCGATTCCAACTCATAGCTATACTATAGGCAGAGTGGAACTGTTCCATAGAGTTTCCAAGACTGTAAATCTTTATGGAAGCAGACTGCTTCCATCTTTCTCCTGTGGAATGGCCAGTGGGTTTGAACCACCAGCCTTTTGGTTAGCAGCCAAATGTGTTAACTGCTCCTCCTAAGATTAGCTATAACCAAAACCAAACTCACTGCCGTCGAGTTAGTTCTGACTCATAGTTACCCCCATTGGGTTTCCAAAGCTGTAAATCTTTATGGAAGTAGATTGCCCCATCTTCCTTCTGTAGAGCAGTTGGTGGGCTTGCACCACTGACTTTCTGGTTAGCAGCCAAATGCCTCATCCACTACACCATCAGAGCTCCTTTTAAGACTAACTATAAGAAACACTAATTCCTTGTCTTACCTCTTCCCATTCCTAATTGCTCTTCCTTCTTCTCAAACACTTTTATTTCTTTTGGGTAATTATCATTTCTTTATTCTAATAATTACCATTATATATTTAAGCTAAAGGCATATATTACTCTTCCTTTAAATTTGTAGATACTATCTTTTTTTACTTATTATGGAAGAGCATGCTTGAGCAATCTCCCTCACCCCCAAACACAATCATTTTTATCAGATCAACAGCCAGTGTTTATACTGGTAGCTGTAACCAGGCCACATAACCTAAACCTACTGCCATCAATTCAATTCTGACTCATAGTGATTCTACAGGACAAAGTAGAACTGCCCCATGAGGTTTCCAAGGTTATAAATCTTTTCAGAAGCAGTCTCCCCCATCTTTCTCCCACCAAGTGGCTGGTGGGTTTGAACTACTGACCTTTTGGTTAGTAACCTAGTGCTTTAACCACAGCTTCAGTGCTACCAGAACTTTTAAGCCACATGTTGTTGTTGTTGTTGTTGTTATGTGCCATCGAGTTGGCCCTGACTCATAGCGACCCCTTCTTGGGTTTCCGAGGCAGTATCACTACGGAAGTAGATTGCCCCATCTTCCTTCCGAGGAGTGGCTGCTGGGTTTGAAACTGCCAGCCTTCTGGTTAGCAGTCAAGTACCTTAGCCACTATGCTACCAGAGCTCCTTTTAAGCCACATAGTAAGCTGCAATTAGTTTTTTTCTTATGCAACCTTTTGTTTTCCCCGAATAATAGTGTGTATTTTTGTTAGTTTTGTTTTCTATGTACCTATTAACTGTTTCAACCCTAGACTTTTTAACGGAACTGTGTATCTCCTCTCGTTCAGATACAGCAGGTAACTTACTGCTTTCATTTTCTCTTGGAGTCACCCTTCCTGGGACCCTCTGTGGTCCTGCTCCTCTCTGGCTGACTGCCCTTCAGGCAGCTCTCATCTCAGTACTCTTGTTTATCATCTACCTGGGATTTGCTTTCCTCTCTCACATATTTACCAGTTTGACCAGTGACTACCAAGGTGGTTCTGACTCAGGGCTCTTGTAAATTAGGTCCACTATTTTCTACTTTCCATGTCTTTTTCCTTTCTTGTTTTGGTGGGGTTCTTTCATAATAGCTTCCTGAGAAAGGGAGCTTGGGAAGTAAATATCTGGTAGCCTGCATGTCTGGAAAGATACTAATCTTCTTTCCTTTTTTAAATTTTGGTGAAAATACACACAACTTAACATACATGCATTAGATAATTCCTACATGTACAGTTCAGTGACATTCTTTTCATATTTTACATTGTGTCACCAATCTGTCTCTATCCATTATTGTTTCACCACCGTTAACTTAGACTCTCTGCCCCTTGAAGTTCTTCTCTGTGCTTCAGAGTTACTGTTGTCGATTTGATCTCATACAGATAATTGTTCACAAGTACAGTGCTCAAGGCAAACATTCTTCATTAGTTGAGCTAAATTGTTATTTAGTTTAAAGGTGACTTCATAGTTTTGGCTCAAAGTTTAAAGAGTATTTCCAGGCAAAATATTAGAGGATTCCCTCAGTCTCAGTAGACCCAGTAAGTTTGATTTTCATAACAATTTGAAATTCTGTTCCATGTCTTTCCTCCTTTTTATCAGTGTCCATCCATTGGGCACTTGATCAAAATGTTCAGTCATGGTAGCCAGGTATCATTCATTTTTTTCTGGTCTTTCAGCAAATATACTTCCCTCACTGTGGTTTTCATTTGCATTTCCCTTTAAGGAGCTCTGGTGGTATAGTGCCTAAGGCATTTGACTGCTGACCAGAAGGTTGGCAGTTCAAACCCACCAGATATTCCATGGAAGGAAGACTGGGCACTCTACTTACATAAAGATTTACCACCTTGGAAACCCAAGGGGGTTTGCTAAGAGTCTGAATCAACTCGATGGCAGTGAGTTTGGTTTTTTTTTTTTTGTTTGTTTGTTTAATGACTAAGGATGTTGAGCATCTTTTCTTGTGCTTATCAACCATTTGTATATCTTTGCAGAAATGTCTGTTCAAATCCTTTGCCCTTTTTTAATCGGGTGGTCTTTTATTATTGTAAAAAATTCTTGATTTTTGTGATTTTGTGAATGTTTACAGGACAAATTGGTTTTCCATTCAACAGTTAATACATATTTTGTTTTGTGACATTCACTACAACCCCCACAATGTAACAGCACTCTTCCCACTTCCTCCCTGTGTTTCCCATTTTCCTTCATCCTTCTTTACTCGCTGCCTTCTGAGCTTTATTCCTGGGCAAATGCTGCCCTTTTGATCATGTATGATTGATTGTTCTAGTCAAAATTCTTCATATATTCTAGATACAAGTTCCTTTTCAGATAGATGGATGATCTACAAATATTTTCTCCCATCCCATGTGTTGTGTATGTGTGTTATATGTGTTTTCCTCTTAACTTTTTATTATAATTTGGGTGAAAGTTTACAGAGAAAATCAGTTTTTCATTCAACAATCCATACACATTTTGTTTCGTGACATTCATCGAAATCTGCCACCACGTAACAGCCCTCTTCCCACTTCCTCCCTGTGTTTACCGTTTCTGTTTGTCCTTCTTTCCTATCCCTCCCTGCCTTTTGAGCTTTATCCCTGGGTAAATGCTGCCCTTTTGATCTCATATGGTTAATTGTTCTAAGAAGTGTGTACCTACCTCCCTGGTGGGGGTGTTCACTGTTTGGCTGAACGTTAAGTCATGGAGGTGAGGTCAGTTCCAGACCTGAAGCACGTCTGTCTAAGGGCCATAGTCTTGCAGGTTCCACCACTCTCTCTTCCAGACCAGTAAGCCTGGTCTTTGTTGAGTTTTGTTCGACATTTTTCTTCCACTCTATCTGGTACCTTCTATTTTGATCCCTTTCAAAGCAGTCAGCAGTTATAGCTGGGTATCTATGTGTTGTTTTTTGATGGGATCGTTTGACGCATGAGAGTTTTTAATTTTGATGAAGTCAATTGTTTTTCCTTTCATTACTTGTATTTTTGGCATTTTATCCAAGAAATCATTGCCTAAGCCAAAGTCACAGAAAACATGTACTCCCATTTTCCTCTAAGTTTTATGGTTTTAGCTCTTACATTTAGGTCTATGATTCATTTGGAGTTAATTTTTGTATATGGTAAGAGGTAGAGATCCAAATTTGTTCTTCTGCATGTAGACATCCAGTTGTTCTAGCACAATTTGTTGAAAGTGGCTTGGTTTCTTTATCATTTGAAAGTAATGTGTTAAAAAAGCACTTTAAACTCTCCCTATTCCAGCACACTCTTCCTGTGGGAGACACTTCGCTGATAGATATGTGGATTGCTGCCTCTAGGTGGAGAATGTTATCTAAACTTGTTTTATTCTATCACTTACAGTTTCTAAAAAGGAAAAACAAACACACAAACAAAACCCACTCCTGCATTATATAGTAATGAATATGATCATGATGATGATATAGTATTAAAAGCATAAAAAATCCTTACTAATAGAAGTATTTACCAGCCTTGGTCATTAAAGATAAACTACAGGAATTTTAAAGTCCTTAAGCATAGTGCCTAAGGCACTTGACTGCTAACCAGAAGGCTGGCAGTTCAAATCCACCAGCCACTCCTCGGAACGAAGGTTGGGCAATCTATTTTCGTAGTGATACTGCCTTGAAAAACCAAGGAGGGGTCGCTATGAGTTGAGTCCGACTCAACGGCATATAACAACAACAACAAGCCTTTTATTAGGAAAAACTATTGGTTTTAGTTTTGACTATTTTTATTTATGACTTGCTGCCCTTTCCCAGTTGCTTGGTAGAATAACTTACCATTAATAAATAAATAAAGTCCAAGCATGGGCCTATGTGACTTTTGATTTGAGGCCCATATGTGAAACCTATTTGTTTTCAACATGTATGGCAGGTCATTTCTAATTGAAAGTCATGTGGGCCTCTTAATGAATCATGGTGTCAGCTCTTCCACTGGATGGCTGCCCCCAAAGTGAATGTCATGTGGTCATTGTCAGATCCTTGTTAACTCCTCCCCCAAAACCTTGATTAAATTCTGCCCTGCTGGGTTGGTAACAAACTGAAAGACACTTCATTGGCTTATATACGTTGGGATTTTTGAGTGTTTAGATTAAGACACTATTTTAGCTAAAAGCATTCACAGGGAACTTAAGAGTTCATTATACTATTCTAGGGGATATGAAACAATATTTACTTTGAACAGTTTGAAATTTTTCATAATTTAAGGTTTTTGTAAATATAGGATGCCTAAATTACTGTGCATTTTGAGTTAGGATCCTAAGAGCTGTCTCTGTCGTTGTGCATGACTTTGATGCTGCGCTCTCGGCTCTGCCTCCTAGATTCCACTGATCTCTGACTTTTCTCTTCAGGTAATTTATGCTGCCAGGGATGCCCAGATTTCAGTGGCTCTCTTTCTCCATCTTCTTGGATACCCTTTCTCTAGGAATTCAACACTGGAAGAAAACAGTGGCCATACTGGCTGGAGAAAAGTCTTGGAGAAATGCCAGGATGTGGTAGACATCCCATTCAGAAGCAAAGGAATTATCAGATTGGGAGAAGAGGTTGATGGGGAGGCAACAGAATCTCAGCGGAAGTCAAGACGTAAGAAGTCTAGTGTTGATGGAATGGCACCAGGCAGCCACCAAGGGCGAGACCCCAGAAAACAGAAAAGAAAGCCCCTGGGAGTTGGTTATTCTGCCAGGTAACTGAGTTGTTCCCTGTCTTGTAGGGAGTCACGCCAGCAAAAGGTGTGATGTCTTACCTTAAGCCTGTAGGATTTCATTTTAATTTTCCTTTCCTTCAGTGACATTTGTAGCTATTTTTTAAAATTAATTTTTCTCCTTTTCTCTTTTTTTTTTTAAACTTTTTATTGGTCAGTTAGAGGTGGAAATGAGAACTTTATCCTAGCTTTGTCACTGACCTGATATGACCTGAGACCTGCCACTTCTCCAGCTGTAAATGCAGGCACAGTATTTATTCCTTGCTTGTTCAGGATAACTGTGGAAAGGAATAACATGAGATGCCTCATACTTCTCAGGAGAAACACATCCTGTGACACCTTGTCCATTTAATATTTGGTTGTTTAGAGGGGTGTCCAGCACTAAGGCATTGTTATTCCCTAGCCAATGAGGATTTTCCTGTGCAACTTACACCTCTGTTGCTGAAAGATGACTAATCAGTACTTTGAAGTGGAAATTTGGTCCCTGCAACAAAGTGCTTTTAAGAATTGGATGATTAAATCAAAGCAAGTGTTGCATATGAGCCAAAAATAAGTCCACATGGCCCTCATTACTTTAGTTTGAACTTCTTTAATTTTAATTTACTTTGTTTAATCTGATGATTACTGTGTAGGACAGTTTTCTTGTTCTCTTCCTGTTTGCTTTCTCAGCAGAATTATGTAAACACCACTCAGCTCACCCTAATAACCCAATCATAAATATAAAAACCTAGAGGCATAAACTATCGGATTGATAGTTCTGTTTCCTAGCCCATTGTAGATGGAGAAATAGATGTCTTTTTTTTTTTTTTTTAATTGTGCTTTAGGTACAAGTTTACAGAGCAGAGTTTGTTTTACATTCAACATTTCATGTACATTTAGTTTCACTCCCCAATTATCACTCCAACACTAACCCAGTCTCCTCCCCTGCTTGCCCAGTAATACACCCCCAACCCCCATCCTGTGCCCCTCATAGTTATGCACCCCTTTGTGTCCTGCATTTCCTCTGGTGCCCCGTGGTTGGTAGATTGCTCCAAGGGATGCATCTCCATAGAGTATGTGGGTGCATCACCCTGGGTTGAGTGGTCTGCGTGTATAGATGTGGTTTCTTGCCCTGTTTTGTTTTGTTTTTCTTTTGCATAATTGCCTTGTTTGGCCTTAGTATGGAGAATAGCTTGGATTACTCAGAAGAGAGCATGGGCAATTGATCCTTAACTAATACTTTTCAGGTTGAGATTTATTTCTCCCTTCTCTGCAGAAAATCACCCCTTTATGATAATTGCTTTCTCCATGCTCCTGATGGACAGCCGCTCTGTACTTGTGATCGAAGAAAAGCTCAGTGGTACCTGGACAAAGGCATTGGAGGTTTGGGATTCAGCTGTCATATTTCCTCTATAATTAAGTGCATGTGGGTTTTTGCAGAGATGGGGAGTGGGATAAGGGAGAGGATAGATCGAAGGCAGAGAGACCTTAAGGTACCTGGAGCTGGGTTATTCCAAACTCAGAAATAGTGATTTCTGCCAGCACACAGTCTGGAGCAGAGCACAATTAAGGTTGTAGTTACATTTGACTGCTAACCAGAAGTTTGCCGGTTCAAACCCATTAGCCACTCCACAGAAGGAAAATGGGGCAATCTACTTTTGTAAAGATTTACTACCTCAGAAACCCAAAGGGAGTTGCTATGAGTCGGAATCGACTCGGTGGCAGTGAGTTTGGTTTGGTTTTGTTTTCCCCGGGGGAGAGGTAGGCAATCAAACTACCTGTGAAAATGTCTACTTTTCTCTAAGAGCTGGTGAGTGAAGAGCCTTTTGTGGTCAAGCTCCAGTTTGAACCTGCAGGAAGACCTGAATCCCCAGGAGACTATTACCTGATGGTTAAAGAGAACCTTTGTGTGGTGTGTGGCAAGAGAGACTCCTACATTCGGTGAGTGTGGTTCAGGGCTTCCCTGGCTGTCTGCCTCAGATGGAAAGTGCTTCTGTAGTGACATGCACGGCCCTCAGGGGCCCTGGCTGAGTTTGCTTACCTTGCCTGAGAAGCTTCGTAGAAGGCATCTCAGTCTTCCTGACTGTTAGACCTCTGCCTTGCCTTACCATAGTAGCCCTTTTCCTCTGAGCCTAGTTCTTAGTTTCTAGAATGCAATATTATTCTTAATAACAGTCTGTTATGGAGAGATTAGTCCCCTTTTTCCCATGAAGGACCAGAGACCAGTTCCTTCAGAAGCTTTGTCTTCTCTCTGTCCTTATAGTCCTCCCTTGAGTGTCTGAGCATGCCTTCTGAGTCTTGGTACCATCCATGGAGTATGCAGATGACCTGAAGGCATGCTTTGAGAAGGAACACTATTTAATGTCAGGTCTCTACCCTGGAAGGTGAAGATCACTGGGTCTGGGTACCCAGAGACTTGTACTTTCTCCTTGGCTTCTGTAAGGTAATTCACTTTCCTCCTTTTACTCCCAAAGTGAGGCAAATAGTAGTAGCTGCAAATAGTAGTAGTTTTTCGTGAGAGCTTGGTTCTTCTTAGAAAACAAAGATGGACCTTGGTGAACCAGGGAAATGATCTCTCAAGAGTGGCGATTCTTCCAATGAAGGTCCAAAATTTTAGGAGTAGAGGTTACCCACTACATGCTTTGAGAGAGTTGTTTCCTAGATGTCAGAGGCCAGTAGAATGTCTTTCTGTTTCTATTATACTTTGCCTTTTTGGTGGCACAGCCAACTTCTCAAAGATTATTGACCTCTTCCCACTCTTGATCCCCTGTATGAAGCCTGCTAGCAGGTGGCTAGTACTTATTTCAAGAAGAGAGGTACCTGAAGTACAGGTAGATAGTCAGGCTGAGAGTGGAGTAGGTAGTATTGTCCTTATATAATCTCTGTTAGGTTATGGAGCCCCAGTCACATTTAGGCCTAGATTAGAATCCCAGGGTCCTGCCTCCTTGCTCTGCTCTGTGTATGTTTTCTGTTATATGTCTTATGTTAATGATCGCCACCTTTGGGGTGGGTTTCTTCCAGAAAGAACGTGATCCCACATGAGTACCGGAAGCACTTCCCCATTGAGATGAAGGACCACAATTCCCACGATGTGCTGCTGCTTTGTACCTCCTGCCATGCCATCTCCAACTACTATGACAACCATTTGAAGCAGCAGCTGGCCCAGGAGTTCCGGGCCCCCATTGGCTCTGAGGAGGGCTTGCGCCTGCTGGAAGATCCTGAGCGCCGGCAAGTGCGCTCTGGGGCCAGGGCCCTGCTCAATGCAGAGGGCCTGCCTGCTCATCGAAAGGAAGAATTGCTGCAGTCACTCAGAGAGTTTTATAACACAAACATGGTCACAGACGAAATGCTTCAAGAGGCTGCCAGTCTGGAGACCAGGTACAGTTTATTACAGTTCTGGTCAGAGAAGGAATATGGGAAATAACCCATTGACATCAACACTGACTACTTAGTGAAAACGTTTGCCAGGAAGGGGGCATTTGCCACTTAGGTGAAGTATATTGCCTCATACCATGTTTGTTTTCCATAAGAGATTTGTCTTTCATGAGGTGTCAACTCTTGACCCTTTAAGGGAGTTCATGTACTTACGTCCAATCATTTATTTACTTGATTAGCATGAGAGTTCAAATGCAATTGTATTTTATATATTCCATGCAAAGGTAAATCCAGAAGTCGGCACATAAGATGAAAATAATAGTCAAAAGAAACAAACAAACCAACTGCCACTGAGTCAATTCCAATTCATAGTGAGCCCCACTGGGTTTCCAAGGCTGTAAATCTTTATGGAAGTAGATTGCCTCATCTTCCTCTCATGGAGCAGCTGGTGAGTTTGAACTGCTGACCTTCTGGTTAGCAGCCCAATTTCTTGCCCATCACACCACCAGAGTTCCTATTACTTGAAAAGTACCCTCAAGTTTCTGAAATCGCCTGTAAAGTAGTATATGTGGCTTATGTCTCTGACTTCTGCCAGTCTGTAGGATCTGAGACTAATACATTCATACTTCCCAGCTCACATGAGTTCTAGGGTGTTCAAGCACCGAATGGAATATGAGGCAGAATTGCTGTTACTACTTAAATTTCTTTTCTCTTTCTTCTTCCTTTCTCCCTGCTTCTTTATGAGTTCATTGTTGAATTCATAGGATGTAATTCAGTGTTTCTAAATGAGAAGTTTGTGGTTCTGAGAAATGATCAGGCACATGGATCAGGTGATAAGAACACTGGACTGCTGGATATGGTTTTGCTTCCCAACTGTTATATTTTTCAGCAGTACTGGGGATTGAAATAATTGAGTGGATGAGTTCACAAAACCCCGATGGCAATGCTTGCTGCCTGTAGTGTTTTTTTATCAATTAAAAAAAAATAATAAAACAATGTATTTACTTATAATGGCAAGTATTTATTGAGCAAATATATATAGATATATTGTATCTTGTAACACTAAGCTAATAAGCTTAATATAAATGGCCTTTACTAGTAGCTACTACTGTATCTTCCCTTTTTTTAAAAATTTATTGTTGAATTTTATCCCTGTAACTACTTTGTGAGGATGTAGAATAGATGTTTTATATTTGGATACCCTGAGGTATCTAAGGGGCGCTCTGGTGGCGTAGCGCCTAAGGCATTTGACTGCTAACCAGAAGGCTAGCAGTTCAAACCCACCAGCCACTCCTTGGAAGCAAGGTTGGGTAATCTACTTCTGTAGCGATACTGCCTCGGAAACCCAAGGAGGAGGGGTCACTATGTGTCAGATCTGACTCCACGGCAGTGCATTGCATTTGTTGTTGTGAGGTATCTAAATATAGATGCCCAAGGAGCTCTGGTGGCATAGTGCCTAAGGCATTTTACTACTCACCAGAAGGTTGGCAGTTCAAACCTACCAGCTGCTCTGCAGAAGGAAGATGGGGCAGTCTACTTCCATAAAGATTTACTGCCTTTGAAACCTAATGGGGGTTGCTATGAGTTGAAATCAACCCAATGGCAGTGAGTTTGGTTTTGAGTTTCATGTTACAGTTAAATAACTTGCCAAAGTCATATTACAGAATTAGTGTGACCAACTTCTTTGACGAATTTTCAGATACATTTCCTATGACAGACAAACTTCCCATTTCAGCCAAACACCTTTTTAATAACAAATTCATCTTGCTGATTTGGATAGATGGATGCTGGGCTTGAACATCTAGGACTGAGTATTCTCTTTGGGGGAAGTTAAGCAAGTTAGGGGAAAACTTGTGAGCTAAATAATAACAAGTCTGCAGATACCCAAAGGGCACTAACACTGCTAGACTACTAGGCCTTGGGACGGAAGATTGAGAGTGGGGTGTGGGTGCCAGAGAGGAAAAGAGTGCAGGCAGGGTGCTTTCTTGAGAAAGGGAGTCTTTCACCTCAGGAGGTGAAAGCACTGTTCACATGGTATCAGAGCAGATTTCAGGCCTCAGCTTTTCTGGGAAAGAAGCAGGGCTTCATCTTCCCATTAAACAGCTTAAGCTGCACAACTGAGCAACCACAGTTGCATTCATTGTACTGAAACACTTCTCATGGATGTGGTTTGACATTCTTTTTGTGAGAGAGAAAGCACTGAAAAAATGTACCACCTTGAAGTTTACGTTCAGGTATTACACCGTGTTATGGAAAACTGGGCTGATTATGGAAATGGGTTGATTTAACAGCCTCATATAAATATTGATTATTGTTTAGAATATCATCAGTCATAAGAAGGCCAGGGGCCAACTTGCAAAACAGACCGTCAGTTGTTCATATGCAAGTTCAAGTTGAAACTAAAGAAAATTAAGAGAAGTACATGAAAGACAAAATGTGACATTGAGTATAACCCACCTGATTTAGAGGCCATCTGAAGAATAGAGTTGATGCATTGAACCAGTGACTGACAAGTTGTGGGATGACATCGAGGATATCATACACGAAGAAAGCAAAAGGTCATTAAAAAGACAGGAAAGAAGGAAAAAACCAATACGGATGTCAGAAGAGACTCTCAAGCTTACTCTTGAACAGAGAGTAGCTAAAGCAAGTGGAAGAAATGATGAAGTAAAAGAGCTGAAATGAAGATTTCAAAGAGTGGCTCAAGAAGGCAAAGTAAAGTATTATAATGAAATGTGCAAAGACCTGGAGTTAGAAAACCAAAAGGGAAGAACACGCTCGGCATTCCTTAAGCTGAAAGAACTGAAGAAAAAATTCAGGCCTTGAGTTACAATAATGAAGGATTCTATGGGTAAAATACTAAGCAAAGTAGGAAGCATCAAAAGAAAATGGAAGGAATACACAGAGTCACTGTAACAAAAATAATTGGCTGACATTCAGACATTTCAGGAGGTAGTATATGATCAAGAACCAATGGTAGTGAAGAAAGAAGTCCAAGCTGCACTGGTGAAAAACAAGGCTCTGGGAATTGACAGAGTACCTATTGAGATGTTTCCACAAACAGATGCAATGCTGAAAGCACTCACTTATCTATGTCAAGAAATTTGGAAGACAGCTACCTGGCCAACTGACTGGAAGAGATCCATATTTGTTCTCATTCTGAAGGAAGGTGATCCAACAGAATATGGAAATTATCCTTAATACTACACACAAGTAAAATTTTGCTGAAGATAATTTAAAAAATGATCATAGCAGTACATCAAGAGGGAACTACCAGGAATTCAAGCCTTCAGAACTCACAAGAAGGTGTGGAACGAGGGATATCATTGCTTATGTCAGATGAATCTTGGCTGAAAGCAGTGAATACCAGAAAGATGTTTACCTATGTTTTATTGATTGTGCAAAGGAATTCAACTGTGCGTGTCATAACACATTATGGGAAACATTGCAAAGAATAGGAATTCCAGACACTTAATTGTACTCGTAAGGAACCTGTACTTAGATCAAGACAATATTTTGAACAGAACAACATACTATGTGGTTTAAAATCAGGCAATGTGTGCATCTGAGTTGTATCCTTTCACTATACTTAATCAGTATGTGAGAAAATAATAATAAAAAAGCTGGACTATATGAAGAAGAACATGGCATCAAGATTGGAGGAAGACTCATTAACAACCTGCAGTATTCAGATGACAAAACCTTGCTTGCTGCCAGTGAAGAAGTACTTACTGATGGAAGTTAGAGACTACAACTTTCAATAGGGGTCACACCTCAACATTAAAAAAAAAAAAAACCCTCCCCTGACCAATAAGCAACATCATGCTACATGGAGAAAAGATTTAAGTTGTCAAGGATTTAATTTTATTTGAATCCATAATCAATGCCCATGGAAGCGGCAATCAGGAAATCAGAAGACATTGGGAAAATCTGCCGCAAAAGACCTCTTTAAAGTATCCAAAAGCGAAGATGTCACTTAGAGAACCAAAGGATGCCTGACCCAAGCCATGTTATTTTTAATTAAATACATGAGAAAGCTAGACAGTGAATAAGGAAAACCAAAGAAGAAATGATGCATTTGCATTGTGGTGGTGGTGGTGAAGGATATTGCATGTACCATTGACTGTAGAAGAATGAAAAAATCTGTCTTGGAAGATGTATGGCCAGAATGCTCCTGAGAAGAGAAGATAGCAAGACTTCATTTCACATACTTTGGACATGTTATCAGAGGGCACCAATCCCTGGAGAAGGACATTCTGTTTGGTAAAGTACAGCGTCAGCAAAAAAGAGGAAGACCCTCAATAAGATGGACTGATACAATGGCTACGACAATGGGCCCAAACATCGTGAGGACGGCACAGCAGGGGCAGTGTTTTGCTCTGTTGGACATAGGGTCACTGTGAGTGGGAATTGACTCAAGGGCACCTGACAACAACAACAACAACATGGTTGAGAATAAATAACTTATAAAAGGGTGAGCTGGTAACTGAGTTACTCATTCCAGACACCCTAGGGCTCACCTGCCATAAGGCAGACAGTAGGCCCCCTTCCAGAAGTAGAGCTCAGAACTCCTAAACACCTTCTGTAGGGTTTTGTACAGTATATCCAAACTATTTTAAAAAGTGACAAATGTGGGAAAGAGGATGTTTTGAAAATGTTAAAATAACCAGCTCTTTAGGGTTCTACAACCTTCATCACAGCCTTGTGGAAACCCCTTGGCCTACAGCATTTGGAGCCGTTTGGGAGACCATCCGTGTTTGTTTCCCTCAGACCCTTTGTGCTTTGTGTTTTGGCAGGATTTCCAATGAAAACTATGTTCCCCATGGGCTGAAGGTGGTGCAGTGCCACTCCCAGGGCGGGCTGCCCTCCCTCATGCGGCTGGAGAGCCGATGGCGTCAGCACTTCCTGGACACCATGCAGCCCAAGCACCTGCCCCAGCAGTGGTCAGTGGACCACAACCATCAGAAGCTGCTCCGGAAATATGGGGAGGACCTGCCCATCAAGCTGTCGTGATAGCTGCTTCCCCCCAGGTTAGGACAGGTGGGAAGCCGGACTCAAGGTTGAAAAGTCATCTCTTCCATTTTAATATGTTTTTAATTGTCAGAGCCTCAGCGGCACAACTCAGAAGTAACCCCGTAATAACCCCAAGATGCTTCTGACGGAGCAAGGCTTTCTTGTAAAGGGAGCTTACAGTTTTAAATTTAGTTGGGCAGGGTCAGTTTTCGTCTTCCTCATTTTATTTTTATGGACAAGGAAGCATTGGCCCTTATGTTTGCTCTCCCTGAGCAGAGGGAAAATGAAAGATTCTTCCTGAAGTGACCTGTCAGACTCTCAGGTTTTTAATACATTTCTTCACTGTCTAGCATGTTGGTTTCTCTCTTATAGGGGCCATCAAATATAAATGACCAATCCCGTCAGGTTAGGAGGGGAGAAAAATTCTTCCAGAGGTTAGATATGTGAACAAGGGGTTAGAGTCATTTTCCCAGTTTAACCTCATGATTTCTTTGGCTGATGGCTCTCCTGTAACTCACCTGGTTGGGACCAATTCCATCCAGGTCCCTTCAGTTCACTTTACATTCTTGAAAATGCCCCCTTTTCAAGTCCAGGACCAAAGCAGCAGCTTCCTGCCCTGTGCTTCCACCCTAGCCCTGTGGAGAACCCTTTGGGAAATCAGTCTTCAACCTCGGTGCAGCAGAGAGAAGCACCATTTTCCAACAGAACTTAGATCCTTCACTTTGCTTTTCCTTTCATGATTTTCACTGTCCGCTTATCCTAGTCCTCCTGCCCAGAACCACAAGGCTTTTAGCTTAATCCCCTTCTGAGAGGAAGATTTTCTTTGTTTAGAGTCAGGATCATGTCTCTTCAGTGTTGTGTGTTCTATCAGATTTGCAATCCTGATCTCTTTTAACCACTTAATTCACCCCCAGAGTCTTTTGGTCAGTTGTGCCTCTGAAGCCTGAGCTGCCAAGGTCTAAAACCATTCAAAGCTAATTAACATGTTTAGATGTTCAAAATGGTGATATTTCGTATTTCAAAATGTTAGGCTACCACTTTGAGTATGAAACCATCTTATTAGTGATTATAACTTTTTTAAAGTATTAGGAAAACTTTCTTACTTTATAAGATCCTAACAAGCTTATAAAAAGAATTTTATGACCAGAATCCAACAAGCTCTGTTTTGGAATTGTGCCCAAGTTGGTGATGGTTGCTCTAACATTGATAAATAAAGCTTCTAAGCACAAGGCTCACTGATTGTAAACAGAATTTTTTTCTTCATAACTTTGTAAAGTCGAGTAACTATTCTTGGGGAAGGAGGTCTTCATCCTACGTCGCTACCTCAGCACAGTACATGACATGTGTGCACTGTGGGCTGTACCACAGAAACTGCACCAAGTGACCCAGCAGCCACAGCCCACAGGCGTGTGCTTATCCTATGCTTTTTTCCTCTGGCCCTCAAACAGGCATTTCTGGGATCTAAATGAGAAATCTTTGAAATGAGTGGTAGCAGCCGCTTTGGGAAACATCTGTTCGTTGTAGAAGGTTCTAGTGGGAAATATGCCCCAGGGGCCGGGCTTGACGGAGTGCAGGGGTGGAGAAGAACCTTGGAGATGGATGGGTGGAAGACAGCCTATTACTTGGCAGTGGCAATGGTCAGGCTTGCCACTAGGTGGCGTTCATAGATTTTGGGTTTTTTAAATTAGTTCTTGGTGAGAAATAAGTGACTTTTATACGTGATTACTGAACATTACTCATAATTTCTGTTTCAAAATCTACATAGCTAATTTTGAGTCATTTTGATAGTTTTTCAAGAAAAAAAATCTTCCCCTGAAAGAAGTAGAGCTCTTTCTTTCTCTCCCTTTTTGATTCTCATGCTGTTGTTGAATGCCATCAAGTGGATTTCCGCTCAGAGCCGCCCCTGTGACAGTAGAACTGCCCCAGAGGGTTTTCTTTGTTGCAGTCTTTATGGAAGCAGGTTGCCAGGTCTTTCTCCCACGGAGCCGCTGAATGGGTTAAAACAGCCAAGCTTGTGGTTAGCAGCCAAGCACTTAATGGTTCATACCACTAGGGCTCCTTGATTTTCATGCTCAAACCAAGCACTAAGCTCACTGCCATTGAGTCGATTCCAACTCATCGTGACCCCCTATTAGGTTTTCAACTCTGTAAATCTTTATGGAAGCAGATTGCCTCATCTTTCTCCCTCAGAGCAGCTGATAGGTTTGAACCACCAGCCTTTTGGTTAGCAGCTAAGTGCCTTAACTACTACACTACCAGAGCCCCTTGATCCTCATGCTAAGAGATGAACAACACAGAAGAGGTTGTTTTAGGCACAGTGGTTGCCGGTGGAAGAGAGAATGGGTTTGTGCTGTCCTCCAGCAGGGCTGCCTGCAAAACCCAGTGCAGTAGATCCAACAGCCAAAGTGAGGAAGAGATCAGCTGTGTCACTGAGAGTTCTCATCCTTTGAAAAGAGGTGACTGTATAGCTCTGAGTCAGTTTCTTCTCTGAGTCTGCCTTGAACTTCAGCAGTATTTTCCTAAGGCTGACAATTTCCATCTCAAATGGAGAGATTTTAGAGTAGACAATTCTAAAATAAATATTGCTTTTTCTGGTATAAAAGTAATGTGTACTCATCCTCTAATGAGTGTAAAGAAAGAATAAAAATCATCTCTTCCTTCATCTAGAGCAGAGCTAACCATTGCTTGATGTGTTTCTGGATTCCCTTTCAGTATTTAAAAATGCATATAGTGTGTCAAGTTTAAACAGAATTGAGGGACATACATACATACAGCTTGTTTGTCACCCATTTGACATGGTATGATGTGTAGTTTCCTGTGTCCTTAAATCTTTGAAAATAACTTTCTAGTGGCACTGCCTTACCTCAGTTGACCCATCCTCACACTGAAGATTCTGCTTGTTTTATAGATCCTCTGCTATTATCAATAATGCTGTGATGAATATTCTTGCATATGAATCTTGGACTACATCTTTGGTTTCCTAACATCTGATGTTTTACGTGTTAGATTGCTGGAGTGAGTAAAAACTGATAGTACCTTCTAGGAGCCAGGCAGTTTATATCAAGGGGACGCTTCTCTTTCACCCTTTAGTTCCAGTGTCCAGTGTATTTGCTGAGCTTCTGCTGAGGAAGGGGGAGAAGAACGCATCTTGTCAAAGGCCTCTCTGAATGCTCCTGATGTTGGTGGATTCAGTCTTTTCTCTGCTTCTTCTGTCTCCCATTCTTTCTTGCCTCACTTCTCCCCAGCAGTCAGTGTGGCTTGAAAACACCATTTGTGTTTCTTTGAAAATAAAAATATAAGGAAAAAAACCTTTCATTATAATTTAAAATATTTTTATTTTAAAATAAAACACTATTTTTTTTTCTGATAGATAAGCAATTAGAGATTTGCCACCTGAAGTGAACAAGGGACAATATTCAGGGATTTGCTGCTGTTTAAGAGTGTAGTCATGAGTTAGTCATTTTTATCCATTTCACGGGTAGAGATCAGATGATAAAATGTGTTCTGTTGAAATAAAGCCATTTTAATCCCTTATTTCAGACTCTTAAGACCCTAGCAGGCAGGAAGCTTTATTCGATGGGCTCAAGTATAGCAAGGATTGTGTGTGGTGCAGGACCAGGCAGTGTTTCGTTCTGTTGTACATGGGGTCGCTGTGGGTCGGAGCTGACTCGACGGCACGTAACGACAATTCTGCCTGTTAGTTTGGGGCTCTAGCATTTGATTATAATTTAAATTCTTAGTGCTCTTTTGGACTTCTACCCTACCTCTCTGAGTCTCTTATTCACTCATTCATCCTTTCTCCACCCCCCCTTCATTATAGCTCATAGAGTTTCTTAGTTTGCTAACTTACTAATTGTTATGCATGTTACATGAATCCTACTGTCTGGTCTTTTGTCTTTTCTGATATAAAGGGGTTATTATAGAGTACCTCCTTCCCCCAGGAATACAGTGAGAGTCAGTGAGGAGAACAATTTGTTTCCTTAGAGGAGATAAGCTGACAGAGGTGTAAGAATGATTCTTGTTGTGATTAGCTCTGGATCTGAATAACTTAAAAATACAATATAACCCCCTGAATACTTTTATTCGGAATACTGTACTTTCTAAGCATTCACTAAGTGGTCCCTGTACTGGGGCCCAGTACCTTCTGTCTTTCCCCAGTCCTGGGGCACGTTCGCATCAGGTAGCAGAGCAGGATTGAAATGCAACCAAATGGCTCGTTTGTTCAAAAATACCTATTTTGCCAGCCTGTTGGGAGATGCATTAGTCATTCCCTTAGCTTAAGGCTCCAAGGCCCTTGCTTAAATGTCAGCTTGTTATTTGGGAAGGTAGGAAGTAAATTAGACCAGTGTTTCCTTCTAACCAGCTTTGTCTGTGGCCAAGTTTGGTTGGCGGCCCCTAAGCATTGTAGGTAACTGAACCAAATGGATAATCATTTGGGGGATAATAAAAAAAACTGACTTCCTTCAGAAGACTGATTTTATGCAGCTTGGCTATACCCTCTTCTAATATGGCACCTGCTGCCAGAGAAGATCACTCCCCTGCCTTCTAGACTGAACTCAGAGCATTCATCCTTTTTCCAGCTTCTTTTTTGTTATTAATTCTTGAATTTTTCTCTTTTGCTGCATGGGGTAGCCTGCTGCCTTTCTGCTAGCATAGGCTCCAAAAGCTGGGGAGTTTAGTCAGCGTTATTGTAAGGATGATGTGTGCTCCAAAATATTCCCGAGCTGGAGAGGCTGCCTGCATTCTCCGCCTGCTTCCCAGAGATCTCCCTTCGCAGGCTGTAACATGCTGGGGCAGAGTTGGGGTTCTCACTGCACAGGCCACCAGGGTGTCTAGTAGGTCCTGGATAAGAATTAGAAATTTGAGCTCAGTAGGCTAAAGGGGCTGAAAGAAATGGGAGATTGAGACATGGGTAGTTTTAAAGGAACTATGAATATTTGATTGGGAGTGCAGGAAGTCCATGGGCTTAATATTTTGTTTTTTTCTATACCCAGTTCTGACATGTGTTGGAGGAATGGAAGAGCAGGCTGATAACCTGGCTTCTGGTTCCAGCCACCAGCCTCATACCTTTAGACCAATCACTTAACGTTTTTTGGCTCCTTTGTGCCTATAAAATCTGAGGTTTGACTCCAACGTGCTCTGACGGCCTCCCAGCCGTAGCTTCCTGTAATAGATCCCACCATGTTGCAGCTTCCCTCGGGTACTGTGTACCTTCTGTGTCGGCGCACACTCTCATCCCACCCCCGGTCCTGGGAGCAGAGGCTACATATGGAAAGAAGAGGAATGAGGGAAGCAGGCTGTCACACCATGTTCTCCTGGCCTGCTCCCACC